GGGGGGGGGGGGGCAGTCATGCAGGGTACAACATGATACCACTGATATGATACATTTAAGGGCAAAATTCCAATGAAATTTAGAGCTCATGGACAGTATACAGCCTTGATATTGTTTACAAAGCACTTCCTAAGAGCTGAAACTTTCACAGTTAAAAAGGTTCTGCAATTCTGCTAACTCTGGTTTTGCAGTCTGAATATAAATAACCAACTTTAACACATCTATGCCATTTAACACATTAAAAATGAGTATTTTTATGCACAATTATTTGAAGAAAATAAAAATTTCAAACTATTTATTAAACGCCTACGTGGAAAACTTGCCGCTCCAATGCCGTTCTGTCGGCTACTTTTAAAACGCTTAATATTTATTGCATTCAATAGATATATTCATTCCTGCACAAAAAATGAAATGGTCATATATGGCCCTCCTGAACTATCACTGTTCAACGAAACTCACCAGTAACGATGCAAGAAACGCTTCGGGCATGACGAAATATATTCCACTCCTTTTTCACGCCATTTTGAAAATTTGTGCTCATTGAGGTAGGTGCCTATTACTTCATGTAAAACAAAATTTTGAGGCTTGGGACAAAGTGGATCGTTTCGCTATTAGTGAGGCCATTTTGAAAGTTGCAATGAATTATGGTCCTTGTAGTGTTTATTTAAAATCATGATACAAATTCTCAATTCGTGGTAAACAAAAATGCATACTCCAGGACAGTGGTTTACTCCGACAAATGACACACCAAGAACCTACAACTTGGTACCCTGCAGTCACTTTCTCTTGCGACGGGGGGACTCTGTCAGAGGACGAAGACTAATAGACGAAGGAATAAACAAAAAAAATATATCAAGATCGATTATTTCTATTTCATTTACAATTATCTATATGAGCATTTACAATTTATCTATATACGCGGAGGGTGAGCCAGCTCCACCCACTTCAAATAAAACGCCTGCATATATTGTCGCTGGTAGCAAGTCGATTAAATATAGCTGTTTAGTTAAATTAGTTTGCTACTATAAATGTCAGCATATCTAAATTGACCACCAGAATGTAAAATGTTCACAAGAAGAATGTAAAATGTTCACGAAACTGGCTTCATAATTGTTAGGATTATTTCTACATTCCTCCAAAATTAACGCTCTTCAGATCAATATATTCGTCTATGCCATATTTGGACGCCTCGCTTCCAATACCAGACTGCTTCACTCCGCCAAATGGCGAGACCTCAGAGGAAATGAATCCCGAGTTCACCCCTACCATCCCTACATCAAGAGCTTCGGCAACCCGCCATATTTGTTTGAAATCCTGTGAATAAAAATAACCTAAACGAAACAAAATTCAAGTTTAATGATCCATACACACCGGACGCGATTCGACAACGCGACGCGATTTTTTAGTTTTTGTAAGTTAATAAAACAGTCAATGGGAGCAAACTTTGAAAGATATGTAGACCAAATAACTCAAAATGTTATAACGCTTCTAGTTCTAAATATTTGGAAAATTTAAACTAGAATCAAAGTTATCGGTCAGTGAAAATCGAAAAATCGCGTCGCGTTGTCGAATTTAATCGCGTCCGGTGTGTCTGGACCTTAATTTATCAACGTTTATTAGAACGATCAAATAATTAATGAGTTGAGGAAATACAATTACAAAACATCTGAGTTTGAAAGTTTGCTTTTCGATCTTTTGACTAGTTTAATTTTCGTTCTGTCTTCCTTACCTGCTAAACCCGACTCCGTCGCATTTGCCATTGCAATCGCTTCAGTCTCGTTTTTAAATCTGAAACAGAAATTTAACTAAATTACACTTTATCTTATATTTGACAGCTCTATCAGTTCTTAACTGTTCTCCATAGAAGTCCTGTAAAAGTCAGCCATTACTTAGGCCGTGTTCACATGTACTCAGCTAACCGGAAAACTTATGTGAGTGAGGTAATACTATGGTTTCGAGTGCAATTTGGAAAAAATATGCACGAGTGAGTTTTTCAAAGACTATATCAAAATTGCACGAGTCCGAAGGACGAGTGCAATTTGAAGTCTTTGAAAAACTCACGGGTGTATGTTTTTCAAATTGCACCAGAAATTTTCCATATGAAGCATTGAAGGCTTTACGCCATCCCCAACACACCACATACAGAACTTGAGTGGACATGCAATAACTTTCCATACCTCAAAAGTGGAGCTACGGGCCCGAACGTCTCTTCACGACTGACAGGCATCTCATTAGTAACGTCCGTAAGTACAGTGGGTTCAAAAAATGTGCCACCCAGTTCTTCGAGTCTGTTTCCACCACAAATGACTCGGGCGCCCTGGTTTACAGAATCTTTAATATGTCGTTCAACTTTCAACACAGCCTTTTCATTAATGAGAGGGCCTTGACTTGATTTTGTATCCAAACCATTGCCAACTACCAATTCCTTCATTCCTAGTTTAAACATAAACAAACTAATGAGCTAAAGTTTGCTAAACTAACTGTATTTATACAGGAAAGCTCTATCAGTTTTACAGTGAGGAACATTGTAGTCTGTGACCTTTATCGTGGGTTCAAACAATACCTTCTACTAATTTTGCCGAGAATTGATCGTAAATTCCTTCTTGAATGAGGATTCTATTGGGCGAGATGCATGTCTAGAAAATTTTAAAATTTCAGTGTAGCATTGATAAGTTGGAAAAAAATTGTAAAATACCATACACATTTTACTCACTTGTCCAGAATTCCTGAACTTGGCCGACAGAACTCCCTTAACCGCGGCGTCCACATCGGCGCTGTTGAATACAATGAAGGCGGCATTGCCACCTAGTTCAACAGAAACCTTCTTTACTGTATCTGCACATTTCCTCAATAATAACTGGAAGAAAAGGCGAGGGGATTAGTGAGGCGAGAGGATTAGTGAGGTATATGCGTTAGTTAAATAAACAACCCCCGGTCAAAACCATTGCCGACTACATTTCAAGCTCCGATTAAATAGAGAATAATACATGGGTGTGCGGAAATAACAGATTCATTTCGAGTGTTGAACATGATATCGCACGAGTGAGCGCAGAGAACGAGTGAGATATCATGTTCAACACGAGAAATAAATCTGGTATTTCCAAGCACCCATGTATTTTTCTGTTTATTATATAAAGTACGTTCTTTGAAAAGCGACAATTTTTACAGAAAAGCGATAATTGAAAAGCGATAATTGAAAAGCGATAATTTTCACATGTGAGATTATCATGAATAATCTCACATGTGAGATTATCAGTTTTATCAGTGCTCGAAATCTCTATAAAACACTATACTTTATATAATAAAAAAAGATAAAGAAGATTAAAAAAAATTGATGGGTGTTCCAACTACGACAAGCTTTCGTTGCTATCGATGCTGTAAACAACACCACACGCGACAAATGCATTCCCCATTTTGTTCTTGGGCTCAGAGGAAATACCGCAGTATTGATCCAGGTAGCGAAGGGTCAATGGATCAAGTAGTATAGCACATAATCGCCCATTGTAACCAGCGCACGAATACAGAACCCATAAACCGCTTTCGTCCACTGATAGGTCCATTGTGTTGTAACCACCCCATATGTAACTATACCTTCGTGGCTTGATTGATGATGATAGTTTGTACTCTCTGGCAATCTTTCTGTAACCAAGTCGTACTTCACAATATATGTTGTGAAAGCTTTAAGAACAGGTAACCAAGCTCGCGTGACTGCCAACTCTCATGCACTCTCATCCACGTTTCATCCGGGCTATAGTTGTACCATTATATTTTTTATTGGTAGTTTTCTGTGGGTGTTACTTGGACCCAGATGGTGATCAATCTCAGACGTGTTAAAATTTAAGGCCAGTTACACGAAGCAAATCCACAGAGCTTTGAATTTGGGGAATAAGTAATGCCAATACGAACGGGTAACAGAAGGTATGGAAATAACACAGTCAGGAATCGTCGCAAATTAGTACCCTCAAGTCCCTTTTGATATTCTAACTATCTCTCCTGACGAAAACTAACCTTCCCTACAATAGTTGATCCAGTGAATGAAAATTTTGTAACCAGATTACTTTCCATGACAACATCGGTGACTTCATCCACATTGTCACGTGAACAGGGCACAATGTTGAAAACACCTGCAGGAATGCCTGCTTCTTCTGCCACCTGCAGGAGACGATATGATGCTGTTATCACGTGGTAACGTGTCTCAGAATAACAAATACACAAACACACAAACACACAAACACACAAACAAACAAACAAGCAAGCAAGCAAACAAACAAACAAACAAACAAACAAACAAACAAACAAACAAACAAACAAACAAACAAACAAACAAACAAACAAACAAGCAAACAAGCAAACAAACAAACAAACAAGCAAGCCAAGCAAACAAGCAAGCCAAGCAAGCAAACAAACAAACAAACAAACACACCAACAAACACACAAACAATACACAACCTGAGCAAGTGCTAAGGCAGTCAATGGCGTATCTTCTGCAGGTTTACAGATCACAGTACATCCGGCTGCAAGAGCGGGAGCTGCTTTCCGAGTCAACATGGCCAAGGGAAAGTTCCACTATAGATGTTGATAACAAAAACAAGAGTCAGAAAAAGGGCGTGGTCATATAAACTAAATGATATAAAGCACCTTAATTCACTTTTAGCCAAAGACCACAATTATAATAGAATCATACTGGTGTCCAAAGTGCTGCTACTCCAACAGGTTGTTTCATGACCACAACTTTTGAGTTTGCAGTCGGGGCTGGAATGAGGTCGCCATAAACTCTTCTTGCTTCTTCAGCAAACCATTCAATAAATGACGCTGCATAAGCCACCTCCGTTTTAGCTTCCACAATAGGCTTGCCCTGCGAAACAAACTTAAGATAAATTTTTGTTCAAGGCAAGGGTTTTTGACTAGATAATGCCAGAGATGTGGGGAGGGAATGGGGGTGATCTGGGTCTCCCCCCCACTTTTCTTCAGGACCAATTTTGTAATTCTTTCAAAACTAAGGAGGGGGGCGGGGGCAAGACCTCTTAACATTGTCCTCTATGACATAAATTATACCAAATCTGCAGCTCACAGATTGGCATAAAACATGTCTAAAATGTATGAAATAGTATTTTGCAAATTTCAAATTGAAAATTTTAATTAAATTGAAAATTTTTCAAATTGTAAAAGTTAACCTGTTCCATTGTCATGATTTTTGTGATATCCTCCATTCTTTCCATGAGAAGCTCATTCCATTTTTTAAGATAACGGCTTCTTTCCTTTGAACAGACAATAATATTTGCTGCCTTTTCAGTTCTTATATGATTAAGTAAAAAAAAAACATGTGTTATAATCTGATTATTGATTTTATATACTAAATTTTCATACAGCAAATGTCAAGGGCAAATATCTGCATTTATTCTGCTTGGCAGACAATTTTATTTTCCCTGCACTGCTAGTAGGGTATATTTCCTCAGCCCATTGGCTGTTATAGTAGGGTCGTTAGAAATTTATTTTAAGAAATTGGAATGGGTCTGGTTATTATTGGCCATGTTGCAGTGTTTCTAGTTCAGAAAGTGTTCAAGACTGCAGAGTTGGACAGTTTTTAATGAGATCTCATTGGTGCAAAAGCTACAAATTTAGGACCAGGGGCACAAAACAGTATCCAAGGGCGCATTAACAGCCATTTAAAAACCAAATAGCTGGTATCATGTAAAAGCACTGAAATTTTGAGATTTGGGGGCAAGTTTAATAGCGTCTTAAAATTGTTTATATGAAACACTCCCAAGGGTGCTACAACTTCCCTCCGAGGAATGTTCAGGTTACTCTAACTCTGGAATCTTGACAGTATTTGATATGGGCAAAAGCCACAAAACCCTTCACTCACATGTCGAGGCAAATTATTATAATCAGACGACTACTGCAGGATTGAACCAAACTCTAGTGAGTGAAGTAAAAGACACACTATATATGCTACATCTGAAGAAATTGATTACAAAGTTACAAATTGGAAAGGGTGTGCCAGGGGGGTGGGGGGTACATTTCATTGTTTTGTAATAGCTTCATGCTTCATAAGAATTGTTTTTTCACGACATATATTGCATTAAAAAGTTAAACGTGTATAATTTGGCAATAATAACAAACAAATACCTTTGCAGTCCTCAGTTTCCAGCTTTGAAATGCTTGTGCAGCTTCCAACACCGCTTCTTTAACATCAGCTTGACCCGAGTTTGAAACATCGGCCAATTTCTCGCCGTTCGCAGGATTAAACACGGGAAATGTTGTATTACTCGCAGCAGATTTCCATTTCCCACCTATATAAGCTTTGTAGTTCTTTAAATACGGTATTTCTGTCCGCGCAAGACGAGAAATATTCGCTGTACTTGAGGACATTTTGTAATTCTCCAATTTTGAAATATGCGCACAGATCTAAGTTTTTATAGCCTTGTTTTGGGTAATCTGTGTCGCAAATCAACTCTGTCGCGGATTAATTAGAATCCGATTTGGCGGATTAAGATTTAATCGTACTTCTGCGGGCACAAATCATCAGTGGCACAAACACGAGAAGATTCCTAAGAAATTTTCGAATGTAAATTTTTATATACTTTTTAGACCTAATCACGAGCAGGAAAAATGCAACTTTAGGTCCTCTGATTCCAGTAACTTGCTAAGCATTAACCTCAAATTCATGTATGTGTTTGCGTCATTGTGTGTAATGGCGTAATAACACCCGATTGTATCTAAAAATTGCTAAAATTAGTGAAGATGCTTATGGCGTGTGTTTTCAACATGGTTCTTAAAACATGTCCATAACTGATAAAAAGTAAACACCCTAAAGCGCTTTTCATTCGTGCGTGTGTGCACGGATAAGTATAAATCCCAGACTGTTTGCGGAGGAAATTGATTTCCTGCGCAAAATATTTTGCAATCATAGTATGGAAACTGCGCAAACTATTGCAAATTTAACTTGCAAAAAAACTGCAAATAATTTCTGAAGAATCTGCAGAATTCTGCACAAAATGCTTTTGTGAACCAAGAACCAAGCAGATTCCTGATCACTCCCTATTTAACACTTTCTGGCTGCAAGATCCC